TGAGGTTGGATGTGGGTGAGGGTGTGGGGATGAGGTTGGATGTGGGTATGGGTGCTCACTTCTCTTTATTCATACCCACACTCATACTCAAGTTTTAATTATAGAATCTACAACTATTAATAGCTTTGGATAAAAGCGAGTATTTGTGAAGAGGAACTATCATAGTTGGACTTACTCGTGATGAGATGGAAGCATAAGCTTAAACTCAATCCTAATAATACGAAACGACTAACATTACCAAGTTACTCTATGATTCTTTTCCACAGAATGATGGATGAATTCAATATTTTTAAGTTTTAAAGAGATTTATTATTCCCTAGACTGAAAGGCTAGGGTCTAGAAACCGAAATTCACCTGTGTCTATCTGTCTGTCTGTCTGTCTGTCTGTCGGTAACGCGGTCAAAATGGCCATTTTTTTGGCACACGTGACCATTTTTATGGCATAAACGACCACTTTTTTGGCACAAGTGACCATTTTTGTGGCACAAATGGCCATTTTTTTGGCACAAGTGACCATTTTTTTGGCACAAACGGCCATTTTTTTACTAAAATTAACTAGGTAACTATGGTACAAATGAGCATGTAACTATGGCACAAACGGTCATTTTTTTGGTAGAAACGACCACATAACTATGGCACAAGTGACCATATAGCAACCATGGTACAAACAACTATTCCGGTAACTATGGTACAAATGACAATCTAAAGACTGATGTAAATGAATCCATAATAATCATGGGTAAAATGTCAATGGAATAACTATAATTTGGGTAGTGATGTAAAACGGCTTACTTACACAAGCATTTAATTAGTGAGAGTCAGACCAAATGAACAGTATGGATTTAAAGAAATCGTTTAAATTATTCATTATTGTAAGATTGATTGTGCAATGTTGTATCAATGAATATCTAATTTATTAATAGTTTAGAATTAATGCGTGAATTTAAGCATAAAATATTGATTAATAAAACTCAAATTTTATGAATAATATAATTCATATTTTTGTACGTACAAATAGCGCCAATATAATTATAAAAAAATCGTATTGTTGTCTAATCTTATTGGGCGCTATTTATATTCATAAAAGCAAAAAAAAAATAAAACAAAAACGATAAAAAAAAATTAAATTTGTAAATGCATCATCTTTACTTAGAGTGAGAATTCTCCAAATTAAGTTTTCTGGTCGCCTAAGATATACTGGTCATATTATCAATGTTGCGTATTACTTTTTTAATGTAGCTTTTTATGCTACTCCTTCCGTACATGTATTCTATCAGTCTAGGGCTAAGTGAATCGCTTGACGATGAACGTTACTTGTATTTAAAGGTGCTAAGAATAGCAGTAGTACTACTTATTTGCATATATGAGAGCGGAGTCGGAGTCTTTCAATGCGCACAACCTTTCAGGAAGTTCACCAGAGAGCCCACTTCAGATTTGAACTATTGAACATCTGGTGTGTTTTCATAAGTTGTGTGGAATACTAATCCAAATTACTTTGATCACTTTTTCTTTTTATTATCTATATCGATTGATTTGAAATCAAGATCTATGCTCAAGTTTTATACCTTTCTAGTTTATATGAAAAATGCTTGTGGAAATGAATATGTTACATCCTTGAATGAAATTTTAGTAAGGATGCCCAAAGCTGTATTCAAAGCGAAGAGAATATTTTTGTCAGGATTTAACGAGTTAGTTTTTGTTATATGGTAATGTAAGTTTTCATACGGAAGAGAGATACAGAAATAGAGAATCAAACTTAGAATAATCATGACAGCTGACCTCAAGCAGAATCTCTCGCGTTAGACAGAAGAAGACCTTACACAAAAATGGGAAGAAATCGGAAGTTGCTGTATGCAGCAAACAGGAACATTATCGATTAGATAACTTTCATGAGACTTAGAGTAACACTCCTTTGTTAAAGTGGAGCAACATCGTTATCTGATTCAGGAAAGGGTCAGCAGATCCATTGAATAAATGTGGTTTGTATACAGAATATTTAATGAATCTCGATCAGAAGAGTGTCGAACCAAGAATATCATTATGTCTCTACTGCTTGCCACAACGCTAATTCGGATAGGTCATACCTATCAAAGAAAATCATGCCATTTATTGTTTCAGAGAATTTGAAGAATAAGAATTTCACGATGTTTCAAATATCAAAAGAAAAAGATCTAATACAACAAATTTTCAATTCCGACAAGTGGACTATGGAAAAAATTTGCCAGAATAGAGCTCATAAGAATTAGTATCACATACTTGTGAGTTCTATTTCCACTATACCAACTAAAATGTCGATCCTACTGCGTTAAACTTCTTAATCTTCTTCTTATATTTATTATATGCATTTAGCAATCAGCATGAGAATACGAAATGTATTTCCACTGATTTCTTCGTACTACTAAAAATGTGCTGAACGAGAAAATGAAGCGCTTTAAACTAAATCCGGATCATACAGCAAATCAAGGAGTCGAGATTGGCGCCGTTTAGGGATGTCGGCGAATGGATGCGAGCTATTCGTTAAGGTTTATTTTAATAAATGTCAACAGAAAATAGAAAAGTGCGATCTCTCTACAAAAGGACTGTGTTTGGCAATATAATAAACATTTCTTTTTATATGAGTGCGTTGTTGAGCGGCAGTTCTCAAAACAGAGTCTAGTAAATGGTAAGAGGCGATGGTTAGATCAAATTTGGTGGACGGTCAAGTGAGTCGTGGTGACGAGTATAATTTATATTGAATGTTAATATAAAGCTTAAAACTTAATATTAAGTTTAATATTTTCCCACCTAATACTTAACCTAGGTAGTTGAAATTAAATGATGAAGTAATAGGCTTGAAGCGAATGCCATTTAGTTTCAGTTTTTTTCATCTAGAAAAAGCCTTTCTGAGAAAACAACTAATTTTTATAAAGTTTGACGAAACGTAAGTATGGTCAAACAATCTTAGTCTATAATAGATTTCGTGACATTCACATCTTTGATTTCTCGGTAGGCGTGCAGTACTTCGGAGGAATAATGAGTTTTATCAGAGAGGAATCAAAATTACGAACAGGTAGAAACCAATTGTGGATTTGAATTCCTTGACGATGATTATCTTTGTTAAAACTTTATTTTAAAAAATGGTTATTTTCATAGAAACCCTTTCCTGAATGCAAATTATCAAGTTCGAAATTTTGAGAAACCAATTACAGATTTGGATTCCTTGACTTCGATTGCCTTTAATCAAATGCTAAAGATTATACCAATACATGCGAATATGTGACTAGCTTTTTGCATGGAAACATAAAAGTATGGCCACAAATTCATTCTATCTTATAAGATCCTCTCTTTGGCAGAGGGAATAGGTCACATCGCAAAGCGCATCAAATGAAGTTGGATTAGTTCTGAAGTAGAGATTTATTAGAGCATCCAGGTTTCCTTTAATTGGAGTCTTTTGAAATCTTGAAATCTGGTTTTCTCCCCTTGAGTTCCCCTACAAAAAATTATACTACATCTTTCTGAGCTGCAATTTTTTCTATGGCAACAAGAATCAAATTTGAGTGTCTTTTTTTTCTTCGAAAAATATTGTTCCTAGAGCTCAGGAGAGGCAAAACATCGAAGACACTATCAAAAAACGTGTTTTTTTCAATGGTGCTCATTTTTCTATAGGCTGCCAAATTCACAGAAACAATATTATCAAGAATGAAAAAAAATACACACTCCAATTTGATCAAGGTACTTATTAAAAAAACTTGAAGTCCGATCGATTTAATCGTGGAGGAGAAAAAGGAGGAAATTTTCATTTTTTCCTTTGAAAATTTGATTTTGAAAAAACTACAAAGAAAGTTGGCTTTTTGGCTTTTTTAGCACAAAATCGAGCTTTTTTCGAGGTTTTACATACAGAAATGTGGTTTTACCTCCTCACAATGCGCTCGTTAGATAGAGGCTGTTTAGATCCACATATCCAACATGAAAAACGAAAAAACTGAAAATTTTGGGTCGGGAAAGGATCCTCTTAAATGGATTAACTTAGTTTATAATAAAATCAAATCATGATGCTTGTATACATTATTTTCTTTTCCATTAAAAAACTTATTAATTTATTTTGAACATGGTATTTGTTCGCATTCATTAATTTTTACTAAAACTTCATGAAAATAATTTTTTAATGAAAAAATAGTCTTATTTGAGATTATATACATAAATTCGTATTAGAATAAAAAGTTTCTTTATCCATATAAAAATTTATAAAAATACCTGTATAGAATTCGATTAAATAGTGTCTACAAATGTTCATCAAGATATAGAAGTTGAGTTTTCGATTATGCGATCCAATCGTCACATTAGAATATATTTAGATTTAGACTCGTTTGAACCAGTCCAGTAGATCTCACTATAGCGTGTCATGTAAACCATCTTTGGCGGTCTTCCTTTTTCAGCTTTAAATTATTTTCTGACGAGTGTCATGTCGAACTGATTTGTCTATTCCTCGTCTCAAAAAGGCTTCGCACAGAATTAGCCTGCATTTTTGATAATAATTTGATATATCACCAACACTAAAATAGTCGTACGCGGGGCTTTCACCTGAACAAGACTATATAATATACATATGCTCATGCTCGTCAATGACAGATTTGGGACGGGGTTTAAGAACACACTAGATCTTAGACTAGTCCTCAATCAGGACTGTTTCAGAAAAAGATTAGACAGATCGGACCGACATGACTAGAAAGGTTGAAATATATTAGCAAGCAGCATAGATTTGGGACACAGAATCCCTATGTAAAGAAAAAAAAGGAAAAA